AGCCTCGGTCGCACCCGGTTCTTCACCCTCATCAATGTGAAAGGTTAGCTTGCACCCCGACCGGGGGCCCCAGAGCCCGACGTCTTTGGGGATAGCAAAAAGTTACTATCCTTTACAGTCCGGGTCCAGCTCGGAGCTGGAAACCTATCAACAAAGCTTGTTGTACGGCCGAAGTCCCACTTGATTCGGCCTGAAGGTCTTTCCGGGGATTTCGAGCCCGAAAGTGTGGCGACCCCATCAAAAAAGGTCTCGAAGCTACCTCCCATCATCGGGATGTCGTCCGGCAGCTGCCCCCAAGTCGAGGGAGATCGGGGGGGACGTAACCGGGTGATCAGTACCCGGGGATGCCCGCGCAGGGGCCGAGGGTTCACTAGCATCCTCAACCCTCACGTCCTCGGGAGCAGCCTCAACTGGATGGTCCACCGGCTCAGGGTCCGGTCGAATGGACCGGTGGCGGACGAGCTCCGGCTGCTCCTCATCGTCATCCTCTTTGTCATCCTCTTCCTCGGAGGACAAGACGATTTGGCTTTTTGGTTTGCGGGCGGCCCTTTTTGTCCGCTTAGTCTTCCTTTGAGGCTCGTCCGTACCGGACTCCCCGGGCCTTTTATTTTCTCCCGGAACCGGAAGGGGGCATAGTATTGAAGACCTCATCTCCGCGTCCTTGGGCAAGCCTGCAAAACACGAGGGTTATGATGCATTCCCGATATGCAGGAAAAAATGCGCTACCGGTCAAAAAGAAGGCTTACCATGGTTTTTCGCCTCCCACCGACCTTTGGAGATTTCCTTCCAGTTTCGCTCCGAATAGGGCCGCTGGGCCACTATCTTGTTTACCCAGCCGGCCAGATCCTTGACGGCAGCTGGAGTTTGGGTCACCGCTGCACAAGAAAAGGGGGTTTCAGGAAGAAGTTGAGGAAAACACGCTCTAAAAGATGAACAGTGAGAAAATACTTACGTTTGAGGTTCCACCTCTCCGGAAATGGCATGCAATCGGCCGGAATCAGGTCGGACGTCCTGATCCGGACAAACCTGCTCATCCAGCCTCGATCTTTGTCTTCATCGATGCTGGAGAATGGGGGTTTGCTAGCCCGGCGGGCCAGTTTTATTAATCCCCCTCGAAATATTCGGGGGCTGTATAGTCGAAGAAGATGGTCGAGGGTAAAGGGGAAATCGCCCTCGACTCTCTCAACAAAAAACCGAAAGAGATATACGATCCGCCACATCGAGGGGTGGATCTGACCTAAGGTCACCTCGTACCGCCGGCAGAACTCCACTATGATGGGTTCTAAGGGGCCTAAGGTGAAGGGATATGTATATACACTAAGATATCCTTCAACGTGAGTCATAATCGACTCGTCACGGGAAGGGGCGACCAGGTCTTTCCCTTCCCATCTACATTCAGCCCTCACCCGGTCTAGGCAACCGGGAGTGATTAGACTAATGTACTCCGATGCCGGTTCGCCGCGGCCCGGGACCGATGATGGGTTTTCAACCTGGAAGTCGGCAGATACCGAGCAACCAGTCGGTGTGAATGCTTTCAATGGGGGTTCTGGTGCATGTTCATCAGATCTAGCGGGGCTCGCGGCCGAGCATGGTCTAGAAGGAACACTTTGTGAAGTTTTCGCCATTTCTTAAAGCTTTACGAAGAGATGAAAAGAAAATACAACCAACGCAGAATTTGAGAAAGATAGGAAATGTTGAACCTGGAAGGGTCGTTTATACTTTTTCCATGAGGCGGTGGCACGAATCGCGAAGCCACAAACACGAAGCGACAGATAATTAAGAGAAGCATTAAATGCCTGCAGCAGGCGTGGTCAGAGCACTCGATGGCTTTTTCACCTGGCGTATGGCCATACGTCACGGGCATCACGTCACCGGTCATATCGTTTATTATCATTACTCTCTAATAAACGAGGGGACTATCTGTATTGGGTGATACCTTTTTTTTTTTGCTTGAGCCCGACCTGGTTGGATCCGGTCCGGAGCAAGTCGGGGCCATCGAACCCGACCTGGATGCAAGGTAGAACGACGGCCACGTCTACAACCGAGGTCGAGTCATTTCGAGACCGTTACAGAGCTCGAAAGGAATCACCACCGGATGGAGAAACACACAAGGTCGGAAGCCGGGCTCGTAACGGATAACCAAGCGTCGCCGGATATCTCGCCCAAACGTGATTTTCTCAACCACTTCAGGCCATTAAGGCGTAATTACAGGGATCCACGATGTAATCAATTTACCTACCTTATTTTTACCCTTAATCAGAATGTATAAATGGGTATCTCTCTAAATTCTTGTGGATCATCAAGCACAATTGTTCTAAGCAATATTATATTCTGCGATTATTTACTTTAACAGCAATTGTTGAGTCTTTATCTTTATTTTCCTTAACCTAAAAACCTTTTGTATCTTTTAGTTCACGGATCCTTAAAACCCCATATAAATTCAATTGTTATCCGGATTCGAGGGTAAACATGATCGTATTTGGTTTAATTTGGTTTTAATTAAGAAAGTCAAACCAAAAACCAACCCGACATTATATGTATAAAAATTTTAAATATATTTAATACATAAAAATATCTATTGTAGTGTAGTTTATAAATATTTCTTAAGCTTTTTCATAGTTTTATCTTTTAACGTATTATTTCAAGCTTGGGCTTATAATTTTTGGATGCTCCAATAAGTTTTACAGTCCATAAATATTAGTAACTCAAATAAATCCTAAACCAAAATTAAATCAATACTAATGCTAATAAAAGACATTCAATTCAATTGTACTATGGATGAAAGTAGTGTTGAATATCTATTTTTTAGTTTTTCCATGGTTTAGATAAAATGTATAACTTATTTTTCTTTTAGTGGGTAGTCATGTAAATAATAGTACTCATTAGTCGTAATTTTAAATTATATTTATTTTCATTATGGCTTATTAATAATATTTATTTTATGCGATTTTATTATCTTTGTTGTTGAATATTTTAGTACAATGCCATGACTCGTCTTATATTTATGTTATTTTATTGAAAAACGCCTTATATAGTTTTGTCTTACTAGGATTAAAGAAATATTTGGAGCATAAATTTTACGTTTTGTGCTATGAAGACTTTATGGGAAAAAAACCGAGAAAACCCGAAATTCCAAAAAACCCGAGAAAAACTGAGATTAAAGAACCCGACTTTTATTGGTTTGGTTTGATAATTAGATTTAGTAACCCGATACAATTGGTTTGGTTTGGTAATTAGAAAATCCGAACCAACCCGACCTATGTACATCCCTAATTAGCTACTTCGCCTTAGACTTGGTTCTTGTCACCAAATATATATAATATTATATATATATATATATATATATATATATATATATATATATATATATATTATTTTCGTTAATAGATAAAAAATCTCAGTACGAAAAAGGGGATGTGCTTGGTGGACAAGAAAAAGAATCTTTTGTTTTTGTTTTTCCTTTTGTTTGGGAAGACGATTCTGAGGTTGGTAAAACGCATATGAGTAGACCAAGTTACTTTCAAAATCAAGTCATCAATTCCAAGCTTCTACATTCTTGATTTGATTTTGTGATCCATTATAAATATTCTTTTGAATTATATTATTTTTTCTTGTCTCAATTTATATGATGGTATTTGATTTAGTATGGAGTTTAATAAAGAAAGAAAAAAATTTGAAGCTTATATTCTAAAACAAGTCATAGATATTTGTGTGATTATAAATTATCTCATTAAGAGTAAAAGAAATTTAAGGTTAAATTATTTCTAAATAAGAAATTATGACATTCTTTTTGGGACACATTAAAAAGAAAAATATGACATATAAGTTAGGATAAAAGGAGTACTATTGTTTTGCGATAGATCAACAAAAGATTAGTTAATGAAGCACACAACATTTTCATAGTCATTTTCTTCTAGTCAAATCGTAAAAAATTATATAAATTTATTTTCTCCCACATTAGTATTTCTGATGTCATATGAGATATATAGTCGGCGCACAAACTTGACCAAACACTTTAGCTTATGCACAAAATAGCAGGACCATTGCCTATTTTCAGTAACATGACAACCTTTCTGACAATCGACTAATATGGAAAAACAGTGGTGTACAAAAAAATCTCTATTTCAAAGAAAGAAAAATCAAATAACGTAAGAAGGTTCTTAAAAATTAGAGATGTGGTCTATTCGTGAAAATCACTTTTAGAAATTACAATTACTCCTTTATTGCATATTCTGGTATAGCAAATTATGTAACATCTTTTTGTCAAGCGCTCGATGTAGCTTTGTCTAGTCGGACTACTTGTAATCGTAATTCCCTAAGACTAGATGTTAGTATTTCGCCAGGGATAGATAGTACTAATAATTGTAACCCTGCACATCCATGCAGCACCCTGTAATGCTTTAGTAGGCGTTTGGATATGAATTTCAATTTTTTTTTTTAAATTTAGAATTTCACTAAAATTTAAATTGAAGATGAAATTGTGTTTGGTTATAATTTTTGCAAGATATTGGATGTCTTTTTTGCAAAATCATGAAACAAAATTTATACCCCACAACTTATAAAAAATATCAAAATCACCCCAATCTTTTAAATAAAAAACATAACAAAAAAGAATAAATTGTCATGTTTCTATACTACAAAAAAGCATAACTAAAATAAATAGATGGATCACGTAAAAAGTGTCATATTTCATGCCCATGAAAAGTAAGTGATAAAGATTCTATCAGCAAACAAAGTAGTACCAGAATTGATAAAATATTTTAGATCATTGCACTAAAGAGAGAACGCCATATTGGAATATCACACTCTGCAATAAGATCTGCGCGTTTTGTGTTTCTGTGGATAGTTATAGGTTAATAACTTATGGGATTATTTATAATTTTAAATATAGGATTAAATTTGTTAAAATTTAAAACTAGCAAATTCCATTTTCAATTGAAATTAAAAAAAATGGGTAGATTTGATAACCAAACATTGATTTCAAAAAATTTTGAAAAAAAAGGAAAAATTTTGTATGTCCAAACGAGCTCTTAATGAATAGAGTAGTCTTTTAAACGAAAGAAAAAAAAATTACGACTAGTGGAGGCATTTGCTTGAAAGCATAACTGCATACTTTTCTTTCTAAGTGTACGAATTTTAATGGAAATGAAAACACCAAGAACTAATATAAATTCGAAGTTACTTGTCATATCTTTGTCCATCAATTATGATATTTAATTATTTATGTATCCGATCCCCACCACAAATTAAAATGGAAAATTTCTTGATCTATTTGTCCATTTTTAAAAAATTATCATGAACTACATAAACTACTACGGCTAAGACTAAAGTTCTAGTTGAAACTAGAACTAGTGTTATCCTTTTGTTGTTTCGAAGGTTAATTCAATTAATAATTTAACATGTTATAGAATTCTTTTTTCATCTTTCGGTTTACAAGACTATGCTCGTTATAAATAACTAAGTACTATCTTTTACTGCAGGTAACTTAATTAGATGGTGGAAATTAAAAAGTTGAAGTACTCTCCGTAGACAATAAATTTGCGTCGAGAAAATAATATCAAGACCGAAAATATTGCAACAATCGTAGTATTTTATTTCAATATTTGAGTGTTACAATCTCTATGATTCCTCTGATTCTACTTTTCTAGTATAAAATTCCAGGGCCTTTGAGCTTGATCTTGAATATGTATTTGATTATCCGTCGCGAACACTTTGATTGTTGCCAGAATTTATCACGAACAAGTAGCATTGATCTTGAACCGCCTTGTATTTGAGTTGACT